AAAGTATTAAATAATAAATTAGTCCCATATTTTTATCATAGCTCAAGCAAAAAATAACAACAGAGGAAAGAGAAAAGCAAGAAATGATCAATCAAGTGACACAATGTTGGCGCTAAAATGCATCAGAAACGTTTCTCTGAGATTTATGTCCATGTTAATATGACATCCTTACACAGTTGAAAGAGGCTGTGCATCCCTAATGTAAATCTTTCTCCTTAATGTTTTTCTTCCAGCCAATGACTTTTGTGACCGTCTGCAAATCTACATGGTTCTGACAGACCTGGAGAAGAAAGCCATTGGCACCATTTGTTTCCTGGGTGGTCCGATAACACTGATGGAGAACGTCCTTATCCTCGGAGTTATTGCCACCTCGGCAATGCTGAGACGGAAGCCCTCTTATCTGTTCATTGGCAGCCTCGCCCTGGCAGATGTCTTCGCTAGCTGCTTCTTCACCACAAGTTTCCTGGACTTTCATCTCTTCCGCCGCTGTGATGGTCCAACTGGATATCTCTTCAAGTTAGGAGGGGTTACCATGGCCTTCAGTTCTTCAGTTGGGAGCTTGCTGCTAACTGCGCTGGACCGATACCTCTGCATCCACCAGGCATCCAGCTACAGGGTTCTGCTAACCCGCCGAAGGGCCACGCTGAGTCTCCTGATTCTCTGGAGCATCACCATCTTCATCTCCTCCTTGCCGCTCATGGGCTGGAGGTGCCCCACAGTGCTCAACCCTCCGTGCTCATGCTTGTTCCCCTTCATCAGTCAAGCCTACTTGGCATGCTGGACTACCTTTATCCTAATACTTCTCACATTAATTTTGGTGGCCTACGCCCTGATCCTGTGGAAGGCCCACCGTCATGAATCTTCCATGACCAGCCTCCAGGGGGCATCAGGTGCCCGCCAGGCCCGCATGAGAATGGATATTCGGCTTGCTCGTACTTTTGGTTTGATTCTCCTCATACTGGTGGGGAGTTGGCTCCCTGTACTCACCTTCATGCTGGTTGATGTCTCTATATACTTGACTCGTAACCAGCAGAGAGCTTTTGCCTTTTGCAGCACCCTTTGCCTACTGAATTCTGCAGTCAACCCACTGCTTTATGCCCTGCGGTGCAGAGAGCTAAGAATTGCTCTGCTGCAGTGTCTACCAATGTCATGTGGTTTCGGGAGGTCTAAGAACTCTACAAATGACTTAAATCCCACAGGGCAATCTGCAGAAGACAACTGTGCTACAGTGTCTGATGACACTCTGGCAGCGAGAACCCCTCAACTCAACTCAGTCTGTGAAATAGTGAACAGTAAGTCGAGTTAAGTAAATATAGTGGAACATTGTAATAAATTAGCAACTCAGATGGACGAAGACTTGAAGGGTGCTGGTGAAAGACTGTAAAACCATCAACAAAATGTACTGATTTACAAACTTTGATTTAAAAAAAAAGAAAAATACAAACTTACATTTTTATTGTACTTTTTTTCTTATAAAAGACAAAATGACTGATCGTGACATTTTATTATTCATTGTTTAATTTTCATTGGAACAATAACCTAGATGCAATGCATAATTAATAAAGTCATAAGCAAACATTTAAAGCTGGCACTGAGAAGAAAACCAATATAATATGACCAAAACAGAACACAAATGCAAAAGCTCAAACACCTGTATTCATCAGAAGAGGGAAACTGGACGACGATGTATACTGTAATGCTAAACACAGAGCAATGATGGAAGAAAATATGTGTGTTGTTATAGACTGCTGTAGAGGTTTCTGTTTCCAACAAGATGGAGACCAGTAACACCCAAACCCCATGAAATGGTTTAAATCAGAGGTGCTAAAATCCAGTTCTCGAGAGCCACCATTCTGCAGCATTGCTACTTCAACCCACCTGAATAAAATGAACTGCTCATTTCCAGGCCTTTGGCGAGAAGATGTTAGATGGAGCTAGTAAAATAACTCCAGCATTTTTACTAATGCTTGGCAAGATTGTTGAAGCCAATATTGTTGGGATACTGCAAACGTATAAAAGAATTTCATCTGGTCAGATGAAACAAAAAAAAAATTTACTTCATGCAAAACATGCATGAAAGAAAACTAACATTTAGAAACGCAGTGAAACATGGCAGTAGCAGTATCATGCTGTGGGGTCGTATTTTTTCAGTAGGGACAGGAAAGCTGATTAGAGCTAAATGGACTGATTCAATACACAGATAGAACTAAGTACAAGGAAATCCTAAAAAAAATGGTGAGAGGCAAGAGAACACTCGATAAAATCAGTTCAGTTAGAAAATAAACAGAAGGATTCAAAGGTTAAGGGATTTGTGGTGCTGACGAAAAAGTATTTTAAAACACTGCTGTAATCATCATGATAAGTGTATTATCAATCAAGAATGACAATTCCAATTGAAGTCTTGCATTTTTGTCTTTTCTAATGAAAGACTGTGAACTTATTAAATTTTGTGTAACTTGTATTTAAGCAATTTGTAATACCAGTAATGTTATAATATTACATTAATATTACATGGACTTTTATTCTATTTCAAGATAGACATAATTAGCGTTTTCTTTTATTAAATAAGTTTCTTATTTATTGTATGGTTTGTCTTTACATGGTCCCATGGAACTAAAACGATTCCAGTAAAAATGTTGTAAATACTTCAATAAAAGTAAAGAAAAAGACTTGTGTGTTAGTATACACTTAACCATTGGTTTGACTAATTTAAGCTAAATGCTGTTTCACCTCTTGATCCTTCTGTATAGTAACTTTACAGTTATAAGTAGTGGGGCACACGCACATTTCTAGGTTTTTTTCTAGTTATGTTTTGAAAAAGTTACAAATGTAAATATTTTTCAGTTTTTGTATTCTTAATGACAGTTACAAAAATTACAAATCGCATGAATCATTTGGGGGATTTTTGTGTTGATTTAGGAGTGTCTTTTGCATTTTTTTGGGCCTAATATGTTTTAGACTTTAGAGATTTCATGTCTTATTTTGGATCTTTCAGATCCTGCTCATTCCACCTGTGAAATGTCTTTTTTTTTTTTGTTTGTTTTTTTTTTTGCTGTTGTTTAAGTTGGAGTAAATAATAGCAAACTTATCTGCCTTGGAAAGCCCAATTTAGTAGACCAACAAATGCTACAAAGAATGCTTAGCCCCTAAACAAACACAATTAAAAACTTACATGTCCTCAAGAGGTCTAAACATAAGTGGCATTACAAAAAAAAAGTGTTTTCTTGCATTTTGCATGCTCCAAAAACATCATGTCCCAGTTTCTGTAAGTGTTGCAGATCTTTGGAATTGACAACACACATCATCAAGACCCTGCACCCATCATGATAATAGTGAACTGGTGAAAAATGGGCTGAAACCCCCCCCCCCCAACAATCAAGAATCATTTATTGTCTTAATGTGTACAAAAAATAAAGGAACATGAGCACATGCACCTCACAGGAACCTGTCTGCAGATTTCTTAATGGTATCAAGTTAACAGCCTGATAAAGAAGAATTACTGTCAAAAATGGGACCCATGTGTGACCTATGAAACCCACTCAACATCTACAGAGCACCCAGCTGATTTTGTAAATGTATGTAGACCTGCACATTGACTTGCTTTCACTAATATAGTATGACAAAACTGTACTTATTTATCAAAGCCTTCTTCTTCTTTTCCTTTCGCCTTTTTCCCTTCAGGGATCGCCACAGCGAGTTATCCGTCATGTAACCCTTTCTTCCGCATCTTCTTCTCTCACACCAACTACCTTCATGTCCTCTTTCACTTCATCCTTAAATCTTCTCTTTGGTCTTCTTCTAGGTCTCTTTCCTGGCAGGTCCATCCTCAGCATCCTTCTACCGATGTATTCAGTGTCTCTCCTCTGTACCATCTCAATCTGGCTTATTTATCAAAGCCTACTTAATATTTATTTTTAAATTGGAATGTTGGAAACATTATAATGTTATAATGTTCTGTAAACATTGTAATGTTTGCAGAGTGGTTAAAATTGTAATTATTCTCATTTGTTTAATATGTATGTATTTTGTCATCATTCTTCTACTAACTCCATATTAAATAATCTAAGAACGACTCTTACAATACATTTAACGTTTCCATTCCAATTCCCACAAAACTCAATTGTGGGAATTATACTATGGTATAATCCGTTATATTTGCCCACAACTCCCAATTTTGTACCTCAAGGATCCTTTAATTGCAAGTTAATACATAGATATTTGCTACTGTTTTATTATTTTTTTCTTCTACTTCATCACCTCCACCAGACGCCTCATGAACCCTGGATGTAAGTTCAACTGGAAGGAATCACCAACACCGGGGTATTCATGACCGGAAGTTGAAAAATAAAAAAAACAAATAAAGGGCACAACAGTACGATTTTATTAAAGGGGATGTTTGCAGATAATGTTAAAAGCATGTTTACAAATTTAATTATGAGTAAGAATTGTTAATAACATTAAATATAATGTCAAAAATAACACCATGACCCCTCTTTTCGTACAGTGGTATGATCCGCCATTGTGACGGTTTAAAAATTCAGAAGGCAGTGTCGGCTGTTACTACTCAGAGCAGAAAATCCGTTGTTGTGAAGAGAAAGAAAGCCGAACCAGAAATTCGAGGAAACGTTTAAAAGCCAGCGTCAAACCCCTTCTCGGCGGGTGTTTTTTTTTTTTTTTTCCTATCTACTGCTACTCTCCTGGTTTGTTTTAGCAAACATGGCTTGTGGTGCGACGTTAAAGCGGTCGATGGAGTTTGAGGCCCTCCTCAGTCCCCAGTCTCCCAAGCGGAGAAGGTGCAACCCACTACCGGGGACTCCGAGCACTCCGTCCCCGCAAAGATGCAACCTCCGTACCCCGGTAGATAGTCCGGGCCACTCGATGTCTCCTCAGCCCATCGGAGGCGAACACAGGCTAACTCCAGGTATAGATTTTAAAATAATTTTACGTATTTTGTGTGTTTCAGGGTGAGTGTCGTGGGGGGAGGGGGTTTGGGTGGAGTGGAAGAATCAGAATGGGGGTTGGAGGCTAAACGTTAGCCGGACTCGGCTAAGGTGATGAAGGGGAATGTCGTTGCTAAGTCAAGCTCGCATATGGTTGTTTTGATGGTTAAATACACCAAATTAAGAACAAAAGTAAAAATGAGTTCATAGTTATTGGTTAGTGGCGTCTTGCCAGCTTCTAATACCCGCCTGTGTTAGCTTGTCCTGGCTAATGTTCAGGTAAATAATGGCTATTGCTGCGTTCAAAACCCTTCTCTTGTCATGTGAGCGTTGAATAGACACGACTCTTATTATGTTTGCTCAACCCTTGTCTATGAGAATAGCCAATTGAATTAAATGTTAAACTTTCTTTACAATCTGACAGACTTTATTTAAAGGGGCCTGCCTATGCTTCAACACCCAAACATCTAATCTGTTGAGGCACGAAACGGGCAAATGGCATCACATGAGCAGCCATGTCAATACTGTAGGTATGTTAGGAAGTTCTCGTAGGCGTTTTTACTTATTTATTTAAAGATATATATTTTCAGCAATTATCCATTTCAAAAAAGTAACTGCCAGACATTAATCCTTTGTCTTCTTTACAGATGCTGTTAAATAAATCAGCACCAGAAACCTTTAATGAACTGAAAGCAAAACGACGTTTTACCCTTATCCACAACCAGCCCCTTAAGGAGGTGGAAATATCAAGTTGTATTGAACTTGCCTGAATATGTTATTGAATAAAGTTATTTTCTTGTTGTTCATATAAACTTAACATTTGTTAAATAATTGTAACTTCCAAAAAATGTGACCAATTAAAAATAACTTTTAAATTGTATTCTGAATTGTAAAACCTTTTTAAAAGTTTTGTCCCAAAACCCCACATTATTGCAATACAAAAAAATGTTTTGCCATGAAAACCTCCTCAGATGACCTTTGATAAATGTTCTGTGCATTTTTGTTTTTTTGTATGTGTGTGTTTTTGCATGGTTTGTTTTATCTTATCTGTTTAATATCAACAGTATTTTTTTTAAATACTTTTGGTATCCAGTGTGCCCAGTAAATGAGAATTTCATAGTCTTGGGGAAACATATTTACTTACTGGGCATATGATTAAAAAAAGCGCTTTGAATCTAATTTTTTTTCTTTTTTCTTTTTGCTTTAGTGTTTTTTCTTTTTGCTTTAGTGTTTATGGTACGTTATTGTGTTACTTCTGCTTATCCCTATTGCTTATTTATCAAATCTATTGATTGTTGGTATGCATACTTGGAGAAATTCTCAAAACTGCAATAAAAATCTGTTTTAAGGAGACTGCGCAAATCACAAGTCAACTGATCTGAACACAAATGGCACATTACCAGATGGTAACACATCAACTTTAACATCTAATAATCTTATCTGATAGAACACAAAAAAGATAAATGGCATTACAGCACATCATTGCAGCTTGCTAATTAGGTGCTGCCTGACTAATGTTCCTTGGCTCCACTACCACAATTGTCTTGTATTTAAGTGGGGGGTTACTATTATGGACCACAGCCGTTTTTCTTTCCACAGAGCTGGAATGCATTGTTCATTATTGCCTGTTTTCTCCCACTGGCAACTACATTGTGTTAGTGTTGGATGGGTTCATGGTGCACAAGTGGACACCAGATAGTTAGCTGGAGATCTCCACTGTAATCCAGTGCATTTTTGACAGCAGCCAGGCCTCATGCTTGTGCTTTTTGAATTCCAATAAGATATTGCTGGGTGTCCTTGGAATTCTTCTCTTGCAATTGAATAGCAATGAGATGCTTCTTTGTCTTGTGTAATTGAAAGTTGATGCTCTTTTCATGACATAAAATAAAGGGCAAGTCTCTGTTTGATATATTTCCAAATTCTTCATTTGACATTTGCTGGGTTCAATTTTGGTTTTTAGCAGTGAGGGGATGTGGAGCGGTTTGTCCTTTTGCCAATGTTGTCCTTATGGATCATTATCTTGTCGCTGCAAAACTAAGACCATTATTTATTTTATTGCAGGGTTTTTTAATATGCAGGTAAATTATCATGTGTATTTTAACTAATTCCTGAACATTTTTACATTTCATTTGCATTTATTTAAGTTCTGATATCTGTGTTTGGGACATAAATCATTTTAGTAATAAAATGCCTCGAAGTTTCCACATGCTTGTAGATTTTAAAATCTTAAGCTATGTTTTGTTTCTTTAGACTATGATTTAAATATCTCTTGTTGTCAGAATGGGTACCAAAGGTCCCACTGGGGTGTGTGCATGGTCAGTACCAAGTGTACTGTGACAGACTTGACCATTTTCCAACAAAAAGGTTAATGTAAAACAACCAAGATTATGAAGTGGTGAAATTATCAGAACCAGTTGTTTTGAGTGATGGTGAAGAAATCACCATCACTCAGTTACAATTCATCTTGTACTCTTTTTAGCTCTGTTTTGTCATTGTTTTCGATATAACATTACATGTTGAAGACATTGATTCACCTGCAAGCCATGTGAAATGTTCAGCATCCCTAAGCAGAAACCTGAAGAGAAAGGACTGTTTAGTTTATAGAAAGTTAAACTCTTTGGTTTCAGATGATGTAATCCAGGACACTTCTACGTATTCTAACACTGCTCATATTTCCTTCTACCATTTGCTGCTCCAACGGTTTATACTTTTGTTTAAAAAAAAAAAAAAAATCCAGATCACTTATACTTTTAGTCAAATTTTGCACATATAGATCTATATCGCCTTGGAATCTGTTTCAAATTCAAATGATGTCTCCAGACAACTGGTTTGTGCTTCAGTTAAGTGCCTTGCAGAATGCGAGTGCTGCTGTAAAACTATCTTTCTGATGTGATTTGCTAAGTGAGAGTTTTGCATTTGGTAAAGGTCAGCTGTCCTCCCCCCACCCTGCTCTGCGCACTGAAGCTTTCCAGTTACGTTTACTTGTTGAGAGGACACTTTACCTGGAGGCCTAATGCAGGATCTTGAAACTTGCAATTGGAGTAGATTTATCTATATGTTGACACATTCACTTAAATGTATATATTGTATCAAATATTTAACAAGCTACTAGTGGTAACTGTTGGATGTGTAATCAGAGTTGGACACCAGCAGGAGATAAACTTCTGGGAAAATGATTCCTGTTCTTTGAAGAACAAGTTGGAGCGTTAGCCGTTTGTGCTGTTTTGAAACTGATGGCATTATTCCTCCTGACTGATCTGGTGTAATTACAGCTGACTTGGAACATATCGCAACTTACTTTAAGTAGAGCTGGACAATAAATCGTAATATATTGCAATACACACTTGGTCAGTATCAAAAGATATTACATCTGATAGAATATTCACTGAACTCTGATCCAGAACCGTGCATCATTCTGGGGCATGTGGGCAGAGGACAGGATTTAGCTCAACCGGTTGGCATCAACTTACTCACTCTTTGGTTGTCTAGCAACAACCTGTGGAGCAACTTGTGCAGTAGAAGTTTAGAAGTCTCAGGTTTCGACAGTCGTTGATATTGACTGATATGAGACGCTTATATCATGGTAAGTTTGTCAGCCACATTATCCAGCCCTGCTTTAAGGTATTTGGAACATCTGAAACCTCCTATCGACACTCGCAAGTAAAGTGAGCCAGCTTTGTTTTCTCTGGCTAACTGTCCATCCATTAAAGCTCTGCTCTGGTCAGCTAAGCTCTTTAGCTGAGGCTTTTTCTGCTGTGTGTCTCTGACTCCCAGAAGCCTCTGATGGCTTCACCTGGTTGTGTCGCTGCCGTTTTTGCCAAGCGGTGCCTGCTGCCGAGCAGCGAAGTTGGCAGGATTGGATGCAACATGATGCACAGTTGAAGAGGCGTTTTATTTCCCTCACAGATGAACCCAGCAGTTGTCGGTATAAAGTGTCTGCCATTTTTCATTACATTATGTACACAATTTCCTTCTACTTTTAATGAATGCAGCAGGACTGCTGGGATAAACTGGACCTGTTCAATGGCTATGCTCTTACAACTTGACAGTATATGAATGGATACTGTAGTGTTTGTCTTAATAATTGGGTTTATTTCTCTCTATATTTAGCATTTGATTTCTTTAGGTTGTCTGTTCTTAATAACAGCTCAGTTTGTTCTTTTTGTTTTTTAACACAGGGCTTTCATAAATAAAATTTGTATTGCACAGTTCACATGATAATAGAAGCTGGTATTTCATAATTTATTTCCTGTAATGTTTTTGTCCCCTTCTTGTATAGAAATATAAATTATTTTCGGTCAATCGTTTTGAACTGCATTCCTTCTAAAATATTACTGCTAACTAAATTTAAGAAGTGAATTCTACCTATAATCAGTGAAATCACAGTCCTGCGTGTTGCTACAAATTGCAGTTATGTTCCAGAATCCTCCAGGTTATTCTTTATACTTATTGGTCAAATCGGCCGTAATATATCAACTTATTGGGTTTTGTTTTTAGCACCAGGCTTCATTGTGATTGTTTTTAGCGTCAACCAACTGGAGTTTACTGAACATGGTTTCCATACCCTCAATATGTCAGAAATGCCTCGACTGCAATTGGCTGTGCTGATTTTAAGACTGATTCTGGACATGGCAGGAGTATCTCTAAAGAAGGTTTGTGTGCACTTAATGCAGAGTCATACCGAGAGATTTTAGTTGAAATCAAAGCTTGTAATTATTTTAGTGTCTGTTTTCAAGCTGTCTAGATGCAGTGTTTAAGGTTGAGGTCAGTTAAAGCTCGTCATAAAATCCCATCAAGTTATTTTTTTTTTTTCATATAATAGGACGGTTGTGACTAAATGTAAATGCTTGCTAAAACAAAACCCTGCAGCAGGGTGTTTTTTTTTTTTTTTTTTTTTTTAATGCTTTTATAGGAAATGCGCAGCTTTTTTGGGTGTGCTCTATTCGTACACGTCCTAATGACTTAGAAAACCGAGCAGACTTGTTATAGACAATATTCATGCTGCGAACAATTGTGTGGAGTACAGCATTTGTTGGCTAATGTATTCAAAGTGTTTTCAGCTTGCATTTTTAATGCTGATCTGATACTTAGCCTGTTGGACAGAGTCTCACAGCAGCAGATGTTCACACTGGACACATATGATGTTGCCCAAAATGCTAAAGGTCATAGAGTGATAGAAGCACAGATGAGAAAGCAGAAACTGGGCATATATATTGCAGCTGACCTCGTCATTGCAATATTTATAAACTGTTTCGCCATCACTAAATCATGCGGAACTATTTGTAGTGCACCACAGATGAAACGTGTCTTTTGGCTGACATTGCCTTACTGATGCCTGATACCTCAACTGGACAATATAAGGCAAACAGCCATTGCTTTGTGGTTCTCAGATTGGTCGGAGTGTGTGTTGACGTCATGCAGCCATTGGTAATGCTGTGAGATCCATTTAAAAACCCGATAATCATTCCTGACAAATCCAAGTTACAGGTTTCATTGGAGAAAAACTTTGAGCTCCTTTTCAGCTTATGAGCAGGTTGCAGTGATGACATGAAGACTGTCTCTCTCTCGCTCTCTCTCTCTCTCTCTCCACCCAAGATAAATGAGGCACGGTCCCCCAGATAGAAGTGTACCACGTACACAAAGTTCACCAAGAAAGATAAAGTTCCTCTCCTATATTTGGGTTATCGACTGAGTTTGAGGCCATGTTTTTTTGTTTTTTTTTAAGTTGTTTTTCCAGCAGTTTTGAGCAGAAACTGTCGCTGCATGTTTTTTTACGCAGCGACGTAAAAAACACGTCGCTGCGTCAGTTTAAACGCTGATTCAGCGTTTAAACTTTGAATCAGGTTAATGGCTTTTGTCACAGATGGATAATGTGGCATTCTTTTTTTTTTTTTTCACTTTTTGAATTTTTGTAGTCACTTCTTAAATAAAGTTACACATTAGGGTTTTCAAATTGATATGATCCACTTCACAGCTTTGAAACAATTGTATGTAAATATTTCAAAGAAGACGAACGGTTTTACATTTCTACCCAACTAAAAAGGAAATTGTGAGGCAGCTTAGACTTTGTGAAATGACATCTTTAAAAAAAAAAAAAACTTTAACATCTTTAAGAAAACAGAAGTGAAAATGACAGTCACAAGATCATAGTGTTTTATGCCAGCTGTTTGTGTTGGTTACAGCTGTTCTGTCAAGCTGTCAGTATTTAATCTAGAACGCTGTTTCCTGTCAGTGAATGTTTTGTTTCTTTTGAGAGAACGCAGGAAGTGGTTACTGTTGTAGGTCGACTGATTGAGCTTTCCTGTAATAGTTTTGTTTACACTGGAAGACCTCCAGCATTGTATAAACATGCTTTTTGTTGAGCTAAAAGAACTGGCACCAAAGACCACGCTAATGATTTAATTCCTGGAAGCTTTCTGGCAGATTAAAACCTCAAAGATGATTTTTATTATTATTATTATTATTTTTTTTTTTAATATCATTTAATCAAAATTAGGCCCCTTAAATCCCATTTCTCACCTCTGACTGTTTAGGATGTTTCTAGTTGATGCTCAAAAAATGTTTCTTTCCAAGGAGGCATTTTCTTTGCTGTCAAAGTTCATATTGCTTTAGGTGTCATAGTTATTCATTTTTGTTTTGGCCATTTTTTTTATTTATTTATTTTTTTTTTGACTTTGTTCCTGTCGACTTTCTCCAGAGCAAATCTTCCAGAACCTTCGCCAGGAGTACAGCCGGATCCAGAGGCGACGGCAGCTGGAGGGGGCCTTCAACCAGACCGAGGCCTGCAGCTCCAGTGACGCTCCCAGCCCCAGTACCTCCCTCACCGCTCCCAGCTCCCCACCTGGTAGGACACATACCTAAAACGCTTTTAAATTATAAGTTGTATAATGCCTAAAGTGCAATTTTTTTTTTTTAGTAGTGAAGGAATTGTATTAGTAAAAAAAAATGGTGGAGGAGGAGAGGAGTATAACTGTAACTCTATGTGGTGATGAAGAACTTAATGGTAGTATTGTTGCAAACATGATGTAGCAGCTCCTAATTGAAACGTTTCATGGAACAACATGTGGACAAGAGAACGCTCATTATGAATAACTTGGTCAGTAGGAAAAGTGGATAATACAAGTGTGTACTAAATGAATGTGACAAATTACTTGCAGGCCTGTCTTGGATATGAAGAAGAATAAAATCTGCTTGTGAAATAAAGCAATGATAATACAGAGTCTTCAATAATGTTTCTGCTTATAATCAAGATCTTTATAAAAGGTGATGAGGTGTTCATGCTGATTGGATATTTTGCTCCTGAACAGCCTTTGGGATCTTAAAAACGTATCTTCTAAATTTTGAGGCATTTGCAAGCTTGACCTTGGAGGTGGTGGTTATGTTGAGTTACAGGCTCAGAGAAAATGTACCACCAGCGACAAAATGTTGTAAATACTTTATTTTAGCAGCGTGGGAGGAAGAAATGTCTTTTTTTTTGTTCCAAATTCCCTGAAAATCAAACAGTTAAGAACATAAAGGTCAGTTATTGTGTGTGTGATGTAATGTAATCCTCTGGTGTCCAGGCCCCTGTGCAGAGCGGACTTATATTTCACCATGACAGAGCTGTTTTTACCCCAGCCTCATTCTGGCTCTGAGCTGACTGTGATTTACTCACATTTCATTCTACCTGGCTCACAGCAGACCTCAAAGACCATAAAGTGATAAATCAAAAATGCTAACGCTGGCTCCAGTTTCAGAGTGACCGAGACGCTCGAGGTGCTGAGACAGTGCCAGCACCAGGGCTGCATGTTTTGTGTTGAACAGAAAGAAAAGCAATAAACTCTTTTTTTTTTCTGTTGTCTTTCTCAGGTGCCTCAAGAAAGGACCAGCCCTCGTTCACACTGAGGCAGGTCAGCTACCTGTGTGAGCGCCTGCTCAAAGACCACGAGGAGAAGATCAGGGAGGAGTACGAACAGATCCTTAACACAAAACTCGCAGGTGAAGATAAATGTCAGCGCTTTCTGAAGTTAGTTTTAGTTTCATTCCAAAGTATGGAGGGGGAAAAAAACAATCTGAAAAGTGTGGTTTGCATTTGTTGGTAATCCATCTGTAATTTAATTTTCTAAATTCAGCATGACAGTTTCAAAGGTTCAGATCACACCTTAAGCGTCAAGCATCTCATGAAGCACTGTTCAGTCAATCATCTGACAATGGGGAAGATTTTTGGCCCAGCCGCAAACTTGCAGGACCAAAATGAGACATTTACAGCTCAGATGGGAGGATATGCAGTAACATCCAGCCTGACCCACAATGAAATAGTTTCAGTCTTTTTTTATGAAGGTTGATGGATTTTTCCACACCATTTTCTTATTTCCATCTGTGGAAAATCAACACATACAATTATCTTGTTTTACTTGAGGTTGATGTATAAAATACCTTGAGATTTGTGGCAGTAACGTAGTAAAATTAAAAAAACTTTAGTTGATATGAATACTTTTACTGGACTCTATTATCATTTCTTGCAGCTGTTGTTTAAATCTCATTGATGTCCATGACTTTATAAATGCTGATTTTTGTCTGGTATAATCTGAATAAACGGGTCACCCAAACTGCATAATGGTGGAAAACAGCAGTTAGAGGTTTGGCTGGGTTTTTTTTTTTTTAAAAGAGATTAAGGGAAAGATTTAAACAAGCTGCTGGTTACAAAATACTTGCAAATGAGCTTTACATCTCTTAAAACATCCATCATCTGTAATTTCAGAACAATATGAATCTTTTGTGAAATTCACGCAAGACCAGATCATGCGAAGATATGGAGCCCGGCCTGCAAGTTGTAAGTACCAGTTTCTGTGTTGCGTGGTTCTTCCTGAAGCTGGTGAACTCATGTGATCTTATTTTTATCTGTTTCAGATGTCTCCTGAGCTCACATCAATGTGATCCTGGCTTCCTCTCACATGACGGCTGCTCTTCTTCTGCCTCCTTCTTGTTGATTTTAAATTTTATTTCCCTAACCTTTCCCTGCTCTTTCCCTTTCCACGCTCAGTTTGGGTGCCATGGTTTATCCAGTTTTTAATCCAAAAATTAGTTTCTTACTTTAAAACTATTGCTGCTGGCCAAATAATTAGAACTCTGTATGAAGCCTGCTTTTTTTTTTTTTTTTTTTTTTTTTTTTTTTTTTTTTTTTTTTTTCCTTCCCTTTTTTTTCTCTGCTTTTTGCTATTAACATCCTTTACCAGACATCCTGGGGGAAAAAAAAGCAGATGTTAATAAAAAAATTTTAGCTGGCGCTGTAGAAAAGCTTATTGGCTTGTGTGATTATGCTGTATAACCTCCCAGCAGCTATATTTAATGGCTCCTGCTTCTCACCATGTTCCACTTTTCTCCCCTGCTCTACCCGCCTCACCTCCTTCCTCACAACTCTTCCTGAGAATGTGGATTTTTCTCCCTTTTAAAGAAAAACAATAAAAGTTCTGTGATTAAAAAATTGTTGTACTGGATTGTTCATTTTGGTAAATTGTACAGTTTTTCTTTTTCAAGCTCTTATACCATTACCTAATTTTGTTTGCTCTAAAATACTCAGTTGCAGATGAATGCAGGGCTAAAACAATAGTTTTATGATCCAAGAGTTTGAAGGCATATGGTTTGTTTCAGTAAAGAAGCAAAATGGACAAATTAAAACATTGAAAAGCCACCAGAGTCCCATTTCAGCTGTTTTACCAGAGGTAAAACTCTGGGCTGGTCGGAGAAAATGCCTTGAAATCATGGCAGCTACTTGTAGAAATTAATTTCATGCTAGTGTGGCTCAGCAACGACCATTAGATGGACTCTAAAATGTATCTGCTAGAAATTTCTCCAAATTACTACTACTTACTACAAATTGCAGAGATGGAACACATTGTTTTAATAAATATTCCTAGGTTCCAAATGTGGTAATTATGTGGATTTTATGGGGTTCAAAACAGCAGTGACCACTGACTCAACCATGTGACCAAAGGTTTCTTGCAAATCAGCCAGGAAAGTAAACAAGTCTCTGGTGACTGATGCTGATGACATTCTAGTTTTGAAGAATACCAGGAACTCTGCCTTCTGTTTTGTCAAAATAAACATTTCCTTTTGCATTATTTTAGGACTGTAATTATTTACATTGGTTCTGTTGAAAATATTATTTAATGTACTGTTAGCCTTCAGAAATCTAAGCTCCAACTTGCCTTTTTCAAAGAGCCAACAGATCCACAAAATTAACTCTTCATGCCCCTTGACTTATTCGTTACAAAAAACAAATGGCACATATTATCCGATACTAACACAAACACAGATAATTTGGAAATGCAAGTTTTCATTCCTTTTTTTTTCTTTACTAGAAACCTAAAAAGTGAAGAATGCATTGGTGTCCTGCTGTTCTTGGTCAATATTCTGAACCATGTTTTGCTGCTGCATCATTGCTCCAGCTTTATGTTTAAAGTTGTTGCCTTACTGTAAAGTGAACCTCAAGTATTTTAGTCTATAGTATGTTCCCCCTGTAGCTCCATGCATCTTCCCATTAACTATGATCAGTTTCCCACATCAGGATGCTGCAAGGACTGTGGATTGGAGTGTGAATGGCACATTCAGGTTATTAGTTTTGCTCGGCACAAAACTTCAGCTTCTTCTCTAATGCTGTCTGTGCAAAACCTTACAGTTTAGGTGGATGCTCATGTATATTTTTGATTATTGTAGAGTGCCCAATGAAAATCGGAATATTGTTTTATAACTTAGCTCTTTCTTGAAATTTTCCACAGAATTTTCCTTGTCTTGTACATTCTTTGGTCTTCATAATGTGGTTTGTTTACTTTTTTTCCCCCTGACAAACCTCTGGGATCTTCATGGAACAGCTGCATTTATACTGGAATCAGAGGAATTGGAGTAAACCTTTATATGCTATGATTGAAATCACAATAAAATACAGTCAGAATTGTGGCTTTTGCAAGACACAAACTATATTTGGTGTTTTTTTTTAATTTCTGATTTTATTTGTTTACACCATTAATGTATCATACACACATTTTGTCCAATATATATTGTGTGTTTAAAATATATATATATATATATATATATATATATATGAAAATGAAAATATTAAGAACTTAATATTGTAAAAGGCATTAGGATTTTAAAGTATTGGGCAAAATAGCAATATAAGTTACTGGGTTTTAGAAGTTGTACAATAAAGATTAGTCATCAAAGATTAAACTTCCGCATATCTTTTAAGCGCAAAAATCATTAACCAAATGTTGAAAAGTCAAGTTCAACTACTCCTGGGAAAAGGGATCGAAGCGCTTATACTTGAGGCATTTCCTGGAAACTTTACTGCCAAAACAAAATTTGAAAAATTTTTAATTTTTTAGCCTTGTTAGAAAAAGGGTTAAAACCGTTTAAACGTCCGTCATTCCTAATTTAGAGTTTTACTGCCACCATGTGGTACGCTTGAGTAGTTGCTGCATCATTAACACATTCGTTGTTTTAATTCACTGTATTATAATTTCTTTAGTGTTGCGTAAACAATTAAAACGTATGCCTTTCTTTTGGACGAGAGATGATCAATACTTGTACATGATGAAGATATGTACGCTTTTGTTTTTTGCCGCCCTATGTTGTCCGTGACGTCACTGACCACAGGTGTGGCAACGTGAAACAGGTAGACTGTTGTAGACTGCACGACTGGGGAAGTACAGCCACTAGATGTTCTTCAAGCTGCGGACAAGTGTCACAAAGGAACCAGAAACGACCGTCACTCGTGATTTGTTTGTTCGGAGGAAGGAAGCGTCTTGGAGGGAGAAAAGAAAGCAAAGACTATAATTATCTCCGACCGATTTTTTTGTGTGCCCCTTCTCACTTGGGGCCAGTTCGTCTGAAACCACTGAGGGGCTGGGGTAGTCACTTGCTTTGTTTTTGTCTCGAGCTTAAATTTGACATTTGAATTATCGTGGGAACCTTTCACTGTTTTCTAATTGGAGCAAACCGACGCGTTCCTGCTGAAAGTTCAGGTGAGTTGGTCTCACTTTGTTTTCTACCAGGAAGAGCCTAAAACAAAAACGAGTTCTGTATATTTCTTTTTAAAGGCCATCCAACTTGGCGTGAATATTATCATCAGCAGAGGAGAAGCTTAACAAACAGGAAATGCCTCAGCTTGGGCAAAGCTACTGGACGTACTGTAGGGAACAGAAGCAACGCGGGGAGTTTCAGTTTTACAGTAAATAATATCTTTATTAAAAAGGTGCTAATCGTTTTACATGAGTTACTCAAGTGTTTTAATTATTTACACTGAACATCCTTTTAGTTATTAAATATCTTGTAAAAAATAGTTACAATTAATCTCTTAAAGCAGTAATACAATAGTTATTTCACTTATCTGAATCCTTGTTTACATTTTGATTTCATAAAATAATTCCAGGTTTTCTCTCATTAGAAGTTTAATTAATAGATTTTTTTCACTTTTGAAATTTTTAAGATTAGCTCCCTTTTACTATAATGTCATTTGTGCTTAGCTTAGCTTAAGCACAGAAATTTTCTTGTTCCTGATCCAGACTAGAACCTGGTTCTGGCAAAAGCAATTTTGTGAATAAATCCAATGTATCTTGATTTTAATAAATATATATAATACATATATTTCTGTGTGTATGTGTGTGCCAACCTCCCACTAAGACTAGCTGTGATTTTATCTAATAAAAACTGAAACAGGAAATACATCTCTTTTTTTCCCTAAAAGCCTTCTTCTCTCTGATCATTTCTATGTATTTTACTTTGAAGGGCTGCTTTGACTACTATCACTGCCTTGTTCTAAACAGTCTACTGTTTCCTGCATTCCAGTATGATACAGTGAAGCATAATTCTCCAACTTTCCTCTTTGAAAACTTGTTTTCAGTCATTTCTACAGTTTCCTCCCTCACACACTGATGCTCCACTGGAGAAGAAGCCATATCACAAAATGCAAAGAATGCTACTTAACCCGTTTAACCTATAAAGAATAGGATATGCAGTATTATCACCATAATATTCCTTCTGTTCTTCTGGGCTGCACGCTTAAAGCTTTTCCTCATGCATTTCAGAGCTTTGCAGTGTACGACTGTAGCAACAAAGATGGGTGACCTTGACTACGAGGAGGCGGAGCAGGAGGACAACAGTGAGCCGGAGATAAATCAAGGGAAAGAGACGGGATGCTTTAGGAAGTTCCAGAATTTGATCATCCCACCAGAGTTTCGGGACCGGTACATGCAACGCGCTAACTGCCGCCCACCTCCGATCTTCATCATCGGCATCAGTATTGCAGAGGTAGGCTGGGATAAAAATCCCCAAACTGTAAAGTTCTCCGGCGGCTTTAAATGTTAACAAATGTGCTGCTTCCTTCTGACGGCCTAACTCATAAAGTTTATTGCAGTAGCATAATCTCACGCTAATAAATACTAGAAAAGTCAGGCCTTTGCTATAAATATCACATACAGAGTTGGGTAGAGTAGCTGCAAATTGTGTTGAAGTGAAATAAGTGTAACTTTAATATACTGAAGTAACTATAGATAGAGTAACCCGAATTTATACTCAAGTATAAATAAAAGTATGGTATAAAAATACTCCTAGCAGTACATTTTCACCAAAAGGTTATTGAAGTAAATGTAACTCATTTATATCCACATCTGATTATGTATGTAATTGCTGTGCTGTTTAACAAAAGTTCTGGAGGATTTGCTGTTAAATTCATATATAGTTCCACTTTTATTTACAAGGATAAATAGAAGGTGACACAGAAGTCTTCCTGATTAAGAATAAATACAAAATAAAATCTTATATTGATATTTTACATAAAATTAGTATTGTCTAAAAATATAAAGAGTTCACTCCTTTTTATCTAAGTTTTTTCACCGTTTAGCATGTTGATAATTGCTGGATTTGCAATTTGTTGGAGTGCTAGTCTCTCGGTGTGCAGCGTTTTCCAAGACATCTGTGAGAACACACTGTTGGGAGTAATCTTGAAAGGCCCCACATTTTAGTTAAGCAAACCTCACCATCTGTGAGTCTGTTTCCCTCCTGCTGTCATGTCATCACAGCTGTTTTGCATTCAGTTTTGCTCCTGATATATTTATTTTGTAAAGTTTTAAAAATATTATTGAGTGTCAAATGCTTGTTCTTCCATAGCTGGCAGTGTTTATCTACTATGCCCTGTGGAAGCCTCATAAGCAGTGGGTGACCCTGGATGAAGGCATCTGGAAAAGTCCTCTCACCTACGATCCTGCCAAAAGACAGGAAGCATGGCGGTTCGTTTCCTACATGTTCATCCACGCTGGGTGAGGATAGTCAGAAATTTGAAATACTTCAAAGATGAAATGACAGTTTCAGTCAGTGGTGAGGAAGTGCGAAACCACCCTCAGTTTTCATTTCTTTAGATATTGAAATTCAACTTGCTGGATTACATCTGTGCAACAGTTGCTTTTGGACATTAGACATCATTTACATTGAAAAAGGAGCAATATTAGTGAAAATTTATAAATATATATATATATATAAAATCATAAACTACCAAGAAATTTCATATCCTGTGAGTACAAGCCACACAGAAAAACCAAGCATATTTACCAAGCAGGAAAATGCATTAGCTGAGAGGAACAGGAGTTACTTAGTTCACCGGATGCTAAAAAAATCTTAGAAAGAATGGTGTCTTTCAGGCTAGCTGCGTTGCTTAGCACTAGGACTGGATGAAAAACTTTTAAGTGTTTCATATCAGTCAATATCAATAATTATTGGTTTGTTTTTTGATTAAATTCATAGAATGATCAGTTGTTGTTGATCTGTTGCTTAGCCACACTCGGCAGCTGTTTTTCCAATGCAGGAAATTGACAGTAAGCGTTTACCGTTTGGTTAGACAAAGAGCTTGTTCACTACAGACACTCTGCTGTAGCAAAACAATTAAAACCACAAAAAAATTGTCCTGTTTGGGGTGGAGTCTCATTTTTGTATCTGGATGTTGGTTCAGTGTGTGTTAACCTGCAGCTTTTCTTTTTTTTTCAGTGTGGGGCACATCTTCGGGAACTTAGTGATGCAACTTTTGCTTGGGATCCCACTGGAAATGGTCCACAAAGGGCATGAAGTAGGATTGGTTTACCTGGCTGGTGTCCTCGCAGGTAAGCGTCACCTTTCTCTAATTTTATCTTGAGCTTCTCTTCTTCTGAAACAGGTACCTGAGATTGAGACACCAAAGAGAAATAAAACCATTTTGTGCTGTTTAAAAATGCTTGAAGCCTGTTTTTCCAAGTTTGAGTTAAAACTGTACTTCCTGTTGATGATTTTATCTGTGCGTTTCCCCCCCAGGGTCTTTGGCCAGCTCCATCTTTGATCCTCTCACTGTTTTGGTTGGGGCTTCTGGGGGCGTTTATGCCCTGTATGGAGGTTATTTCATAAATGCAGTGGTGGTAAGTTGAGACACACCATGACAGGAGGATCTGCTCACATTCTTCCATGTGGAAATTGCTTAAGGCAGGGGGAATTACATTTGAATCTTTTTTTGGCACAAAAGTCAGCTGAGGGAGATATTTCTGAATGCCGGTGAAAGGTGGTTTTATCAACCACTCACTCTTGGGGGCTGAATGCCATGCTTTTGTGATGAAACGTGAAAAAGTTACAGTAATTTAAATACTTTTGTGACACGGTGCACATTGTACTAAAGACAAACAAATGAACTTTTAGAGGAAATGCCTTCATCTGATTTCCTTTCTTCCTTTTCACAGAATTTCAAACAGATGAAACTTATTTTTGGAGTGACTCGAATCCTCATCATCGTTTTAATTGGTAGGTTCCCCTCTGTTTTTTGTCAATGTTCTTTTTAAATGTCTGGAAGTGCACAATCATTTGTAGCAATGATTTAACGCCGCTTTGTGTTCAGTTGTTGCAGATTTCGGCTATGCCTTGTACAGACGATTTGCCAATTTAGAGGGAGGTGTAAAGGTAGGTGCACTGAAAAACAAACCAGATATTTCTGAGCTTCCTCGGAAACAGAGGATCAAAAATACCCACACAGTATTTTCCTGACGAGCTGTCATTCATGCAGTTGTATGCATGTATTTCTGCATACATCTGCATGAATTATGGTTTCAACTTGGTTTTGGAATAACTAAGTTGATTCTTAGCTTCATGGCTACAAAAACACAAATGGTGTTTACTGAAAACTTGACTCCTTACCCCCTCACCCATTTACTTTATTGACTGTCTGTTAAACTAGTCCTGTGAGTTTCGACTCAACATTTAGTGGAGTCACTAAATGTTTAATGGCAGCTTACAGCCTAGAGGCCTGAACTGAAACCTGATTTTTATCATATTTTCTTCAGGTGTCGTTTGTGGCTCATTTGGGAGGAATTGTTGCTGGACTGACTATCGGATACGTCTTCTTCATCAAATTCAATACGAAGCTGTGTAAAAACCCACTTTTCTGGATTTGCATATTGGGATATGCTGTCTTCCTTATCTTTGCTGTGTTCTTCAACATCTTCATCTCTCCTGCATCGTAGAACTGGAGAAGATTTCACCCAAAGTTTTGCTCAGGAGGCTTGTTTTGACTTGTCTTGAAGTCTTTGAGAATATCAACAAATTGCTTATTCTGATCTTGATATGGATTTTCTAGTTTTAAAGCTTGTATTTTGACTTGGTGTATAATAGGGCCACTTAGTGGTGTCTCAGAACTGCAAACACTATTGACAAAAAAGAGGTGTTTTGAATATTTAATCAAATCATATTTGTTTTTTTCCAGATAAGATGTTCTTAATTTCCATGTACTGATTTGATGGAAACCATTGCTTGTTTTGTTTGCATCAACATTTCTCATCTAGTATTAACAAAACTCCTGTGAATGTGAATTATTCTTCACAAAAATCACATTTTCAAACCTTATTAACAACACTAAAAATACTACAGAGCTTTAATCATCAGGTCTCATTTTATGTCTCATTTATTGTGCTGTATCCTGATAAAGGAATAATGAAATGTCCATTAAGATGTTAAACAGATGGACACACATCACTATGTCTTAATATTGTTAACACATTTAAAAGTTAACTGTAATTTCTTTTTTTCTAATATTTTCTGTAAAGGTGATAGCTAAATACTAGCTTTAAAAATGGGGTATGTTTTAAGTTTGGTAATGTGGAAACATGATGTTTTAGAAGACATACCTCTAATCTAAGAGGCCATGGAGACTTTTCAACTGAAGTCCAAATATGACTTTTTGTTTGCTTTTGAATTTTCATATCAGGGTGTTCAAATAAAGTTAGTTTACTGGAGTGTGTTTTACAACCTGGCCTTCTGAAATAAAGGAAGCATTTTAAAGTTTCTTTACTAGCTTTTGTCTGATTATAGATTACCATCAATTGTCAATTTACTTGTATTTTCATATTGAAGTCATTTTTATCAACTATCTGTATAAAGTTTGGCATTTCTAAACTGAGCTCAATTACACTAAAATAATTTATTCACATCTCTGGAAAAAGTAGAGAAGGGTTAAAAAAATGGAGACCATGTCTCTTAATTTTTATGTAATTCTGTAAACCCTTCTGGAAACGAGATGTGCATAAATTACTTATTGACCAATTCTGTGCTGACATCAATAAAACATCCTGGGACAAGACTAACACCCTGTACTTTGCCAATATAAATTTAAAGATGTATTTGACATAATTCAAAAATACACTCACTGGTCATTTCCATCAGTGACGCCTAATGCAGGATGGCATCTTTTTCAGAATTGCCTTTCTGTAATGTGTTAGAAAAATGCTTGAATATCCATACAGACATGAAACATCATGCAACTCAAGAAGCCAGTATGTGATTATCTGAGCCTTGTGATATGGTATGTTTTCCTACTGTAAGTAGCCCTTATTCTGACATGTAAAAGACATTTTTATCTATACAGCTGCCGCCGACAACGCAGCCGATTCAGCTCCAGGAAGGTGTCACATAAACACAAATACTGGGCCAGATGTAAATCCTGTTCATCAGTTTCTGAGTTCATTCTCAAGAGTGCAGCAAAGAATCCAGGCTAAGAGTTCCTGAGAACACAAGACTACATACACAGGATCCAGTTTGACAAACATGCCCCGACAGTCCAACCCTCTGATTCACCCCACCAACTACTGGTTTTGGACGGGTTTTCGTTTAGTATGCAAATACTTACTGTGTTATGTTTGAAATTTAAATCTTTAAATTGCTTTTTGTATTTACTGAGAAACAAATAATACAGAACATAGACATGTTTATCAAAAACACTGAACTGCACTGAACATCTGTTAACATTTACCATCCAATTTGAATAGGATTGCTATAACGTATGGAAACCCACCCCCCAAAGCTGTAGATTATCTTTAAACTCAAAGTCAAAGCAGTACAGAGTAGTGAATGAAAAACTTTTTTTTTTCTCTTATAACGTAGCTCTAGTTTATTCACATGCATCTACAGTTATAAAGTTAAAGGTCATGACATATACATCAGTGAGCTGTGAAGTTTTCTGCTTGTTCACAGCTGTCCTTTCACACCTCTGCTGTTTTTGGAAATGCTGGAGCGCATTAGAGCTTGTTCACAGATTAAGACATCAAGGATTTTCAAAACCTTCTCATTTTTTAGGGCTCAAGAAATTAAGCTTTTCATTTTTCTTAAATTATCAGTAAAATCATCAAATAAGCCTTTGAAAATAATCTCTTATCTAGAGGAGCTTCACTTTTTTAATTAAAGTTCAAATCAGATTTTTAATGATATGATGCATTGAGATGCAGCTGTACCTCTCAAGAAGTCTGCAGTATTTGTTTTCTTTTATGGTAAATGTCAGTTATTTTTTTCAATGAAAAGTTCAACATAAGTCAGTTTTTGTACAACCTCTTTGTACAGCCCTGTGGAAATCTGAATTAGGGGCTTAGCCCTCAGAGAAAGCCGTTACTGGCCACTAAAAGCCGTGCAGTGAGAGTTTAAAAAAAATGTGACTTTGAGCATATTGGTAATGAAATAGCAGAACATAGCTGTCCTCAATAGAAACAAGCTTTGCTTCTGGAAAAAAATAACCTAGTATAGAGCAAGACATACCCTGATCATTTTCACTTCTGTAGTTTAATGCATTATTGTTTCTGAATGCATTTTGTATGATAAATGAAAAAGATCAGGGTCAAAATATTGTTGAAGTATTCAACAGAAATGCAAATCGCCCGCAGAGCTAGAATAATTGAAGGTTTATTTTTCCCCTTCATGCCAGTTTCAGACCACTGGCTGCCTTAATCCAAAACATTAAACAATGTTACGTGTGTTCCCATTTTGAGGAGCAAAATAAATTGCACTCAAAATGCCACACTTTGAACGTACTTCACAAAAGACTGAACACTCAGGAAAAATATATACAAACATATACAGAATAAGTTAGAATATAAGAAAAGAATAAAGTTGCGATTTACAGATAAACATCACAGCCACATAAAACATTCGGCTTTCACCTTTTACGGTGTAGTCCTATCTTTAAATTCAAACTGACAGCAGCATAAACAAATACGTTTATCAAAACAAAGACGAGTTTGTTGTTGAAATCTAGTTAGCAGCGGCTCCATCTTCTGAAGCTGGTTCATATCGCTGCAGCTAGGAAGAAATCCAAAACAAAAAAACACTGGCGTTAGCTTTCATTTCATTTGAACAATTACCGCAATACTTTTTCATAATGAGAATCATTGGAATAAGAGAAAACATCCCATTTAAAGAGACAGGCATGAGAGCAGCACAATGTAAACAAAAAACATGCAAACAATCCTGACACTCCATCCTGATTAAAACTGGGCCAATTATGGGAGGAGATTTTATAAGGGAGTTATTATTTTTGATTACACCAATGTTGGTTCTGAAATCCATTTTTATTCACTGATAAAGTCAACAAAAGTTTTTTTTTTTTAAAAAAGCTATGAAAAAATAAACTACTGATGAAAACCAGCAAATGCCATTTGCACATAAAAAACATGAACTGTATTCTTTGGAGTAAAATGTAAGAATACAGTGCTCTCTTGTGGACTGTGCTGGTACATTTTCATAACTATTCAGACCAATTATATAGAATATTAGAAACAAAACAAACAAACAAAAAACAAGCAACATACCCTTGCTTTGAGATCTTTATTTTCCTCCTCCAGACATGCACATCTCTGTCTCAGGTCGTTCACTTCCTGCTGCAGAGCCTCTGTGTCTGCTGAAGTCAGGGGAACAGCACCAAGATGCTCCTTCACATATCTGGAAGGAGTTGGTTAAAGAATCTACAGGAAGTGAGTTCTCAGCAAAAATTTGAAATCGTTACCACACCACAAAAATAAAACATGGTGGCGAAATGAGACGTGTATAAAGAAGGATACTCCAGAGCATTGGGAGGCTTCTCTTGTTGCTCATACAGAGACACAAAAACTAAAAAGGAGCAGAAGAAGGTTACAATATACATCTCTTGTTGCTTGGCAGACATATTTACCTCACCTCCAAAAGACTTCTTCATTTAGGAAAGGAAAAAGGCTAATATAAGCAGCCAGTTATAACTGTTATTCTATTAAGAGCAAGGCATATGTGTATCATCTAAGCAATAGATATTTGAAAACTGATAGTAAATTCAGGAAGTTTTAATAAATGCTATGAAATTTTAACTTTGTAATCAATTTTACACACTTTAAAAATAGTGGATTTTTTCTTATTTAAATTTGAAGCTGTATTGGGTTATGATTTGTATTCTTATTTACATTTTTTTTTTTTTTGCGTACACGCTGTGAAACTGGAATTTTTACTTGTACAGTGAGAATTTCACATCGTCTCGTAGCCAAAATCTTGCTACAGTCTCGTTATTCAACTATGAATAGTTTCCCCTCCACCCAAGTCCTGGTGACAAGACTTCTGCTCCTCTGGTTTGAATGCGTCTCTACTCAAACACACCTGAGTCCAATAATTTAATTAGATGGTCTCAGCATAGCCTACTGAGAGCTGAACTCCACTACGCAGTGAATTATGTAAGGTTTAGAACCTCATCTTCTCATTGCAAACTGGAAAAGTTTGCAAAAAATAAAGTGCACTAAAACTGTTGTTGAAGCTGTCGCTGTCAAATCTAAACGGTAAACATGACCAAGAGTCCTACGTAAATTACAAAACAAGAGCGTAGCGATGAAGAGCGTGAGCATAGCCCATGTTGGCTTGCAACTCCATAATAAAAACCCAGAAGTTACAGCCTTTGTAGTGCACATAAGAAATAAGCGACCCACCACTGGTGAGACTGTCAACAACTCCAGTTTTTTCCAAATATCTTCTGAAATGTTCTCTCTTAGAGTCAGAGGCCTGTGGGAAGAGAACATAGTGATTAAAAAGAGAATATTTTACTTTGAAGCCTCCTGGCGTGCTAACAGCGCAGCTAGCGTGCAGGATTTCTAATAAGTTCTAATTTACATGGAGAAATATAAAGCGACATTAAAAACACTTACTCTATAATGCGCCATGATGATATCGGCTGTAAAGCTGACTGAATGCAAAGCTTGTATATTTAGTCTACCGCTTTGGTATCGGAGCGAATGAAAAACAGGTAAAGTACCACCGGGTCGGTAAAGTTAACTTTCGTTTTAAGGGCTCCAAACATACAGCAGCACTGAACTCAGTGCTGCCTTCATGTATCTCATGTAAAATGCAGCAGGTCCTCATTTGTACAAAGGAAAACCTTCATTAGTTAAACTAAATACATAAGATAAAACGGATTATTTGACGACTACAGTAAAATATTTATATCTTTAATAAAATCACAAAATAAAAACATTACATTTCTAAAACAGACAAATTGAACTCCAATCACAGCACAAACAAGTCATTATAGATTCAACAAAAAATAAGAGAGAATAAAAAAATAAAAAATAAACTACATAAACCCCACTTAATCTGATCAATTTAAGAAGCAAATAAAATAACATGAATAAAATTATTTTTCTTTGCTCTTTATTTCTTTGTTTCTTTCTTCCTTTCTTTCTTCCTTTCTTTCTTTCTTTCTTTCTTTGTTTTTTTATTACTTATTTATTGATGGAATCGCAATGTATATCTTTACATCACATGCTATCTTAAAACTAATTTTCTCTGGAATAAATATAAAATATTTTAATTATGATATTTCCTACATTTTAGATAGACTTTGAAAGTGTTGAATTACTGACGCGTGTGTCTGTCCCCATCTGCTGGTAGTTTGACAAATATCTATCAGTTTCTGTTTAGCAGTATTTTATAACTTTCAATAAATATTTATTCTTTCGAAATAACAAACAAAAACCACAAAACACAGTTTCATTAGGTTTAAATAGATTAATACTGCAAAGGCAACTATTTTGTTTCCCTAATAGACGGTTTAGTTCACAAAACAAGTCTGGGTACTAGTCAGGTGACAACGAAAAACCTCAAAAGACTGACAGGATCACTAGCCAATCATCGTTTGAGATGTAATCCAAGCAACGAATCAGAATCAAAAGGCGGGACGATCAGCATTTTTTTTTTCAGCTAAGAGGAAATCCTAAGGAAATGTGTGGGATCATCATGCACTGTGTTTTCAAGAGGCTAATACGATATTGACTACCTGTTTTCATAATAAGACAGGTTTATAGCGTCTGGTGACAAACACAACTGTGTTTAGATATATTTAGAGGCGACGCAAACAGCGGAAGCGACCGTTGTTAGGTCAAAATGTCGATTCAGTACGAGGTGGAACAGCTGGCTGACAGCTATGGGGTTTCGGACTCGTTCCCCAAAGATTTCGGTTATGGTGAAGAGGAGCCCGATATCGAGGACAGCTCGTCTCCGTCAGACAGCAAGCCGAGGATCCTGCTCATGGGTTTGAGGCGAAGCGGCAAGTCATCCATACAGAAGGTGGGGAGAGATATGCTGTCTTTAAAGTGTTAGCATTGCGAGGCTAGGGGCCGCTTTCATTTGCTTCTCTCAGTTAAAATAGCTAGCAACTTAGTTTAGCATGTCGCTAATGATAATTGTGATCAGGGAATCAATGTGTGCAACTACAAGGATTGTTATAACAAGCTGATAGCCAGAAAGCTGCGGCTGGTAATTATTAACCAGGTGGACAGAGGCAGTCGATGAGATGAGGACAAACGGCATGTCACATGCCAAAGACTCGGTAGCAAACTGACCACACCTTTACCTTTTGTTTTAAATCAATGCCTCAACGCAGGAGACAGGCGAGTTTATTCGCACCCTCTAAAGTTTTTTTTTTTACTTTTTGTCTCGTCACAACCACAAACTTCAGTGTATTCTATCTGAGTTTTGTGTATTAGAGCAACACAAAGTGCAAACGCATCCTAAAATGTGCGTATGTATTCAGTCCCTCTACTCTGACATCCCTAAATAAAACGCATTGTCACCAATTATAATCAGTAGCTTACCCAATTAGTAAATTAGGTGAGCAACTCTAAGGCAACTTCACCTGTTTGGAGTTGCCTTTAAAGCATAATCGACTAAGAATTCAACATAGCACTTGACTTAATATAATGTTTCGATTGTTGATTTTATATTGCATGACGTTTTTGTTTTTTTATGATGCCTTGAAATGCCTTCTTTCTGGAATGTACTTTATAAGTAAAAGTTGATTGATTGATCTGGTTAAATTACATCTGGAATTTTTTCTGGGCAAGTCTGAACCAGTTTGAGATGATAAATGTTGCCCATTCTTCTTTGCAAAATAGCTAGAGCCGATTCAGATTGCACTGAAATAATCTGCGTATGTACATTTTCAAGTTGTGAAAAAAAAAACATTCCCAACTAGATTTAGGTCTCAAAGTTGTCTAGGATAATCTAACACATAGAAATACTTGTAGTTCAGTTGTAAATTAAACTTCCACTCGAGTCTGAAGTGCAACTTTTAATGTTTTTTTTCTCCAGGATTTCACTGTGTTTTACTTCATCTTCCTGTCATCTCTGCCCACTTTTCATGCTGTCCCCACCATGGTTCAAAGAGGGGATGTTGTTTTCATGGTGATAATTTCTACTTTATATGTGGCCAAAAAAAATAAATTTTGGTCACACCTGAGCAGAGCACCTTCTTCCTTGTTTGCATTGTTCCCTACATTACTTTTGGCAAACTGTACTTTTTAAAGTTGTCTGACCTATCACATAAGATCCTGTTGAAATAAATAAAAGTTTGTAGTTGTGATGTGAAAAAGAGCAAAAGCTCAAATGAGAAAAGAACAAAGGGTAGACCCCCTCTCTAAATATGAACTAGGTTAAATTCCTCTTGACTGATTTTGAGATTTCAACCACCTCCATTCAGCGTTCAAACTTGCTTTACTCCATTCTGTGTGATATAGCATGATTACAATCATATATTAGGAAAAAAAGCAGTTTTATTTACAGTTGAAGGAGTTGGCCACCTTTTTTTCCGATTGGCAGAAGACAAAAAATAACTCTGAAACTGGATTGTGTTACAATTAGATTCCTAAAGTCTTACTTTAGCTTGATGCTGTGTTTGAATAATTGATAAGAATCCTCTGTTCCATCTGTGATATTTCATTATTTATGTTAAAATTCAACGTGATTTGAGAGTGCAAAGAAATAAAAGTAAAGAGTGGCATTTTTCATTTCTAATCCACACAGTTTCCAGTAGGAGATTATTGTTCCTCTGCAGGCCTTTGGAGAGCATGTGATTTGGCTTTTTGCTTGCTTGCTAGTTGGCCTTTGGTCTTTGAATCAAAATGGCAGCTGTGGAGCAATACTATGTATCCATCAAGAAATTGCTGTCTTCTTTTTCTTTGCTTTACAGGCTTTGTTTGGTCAAAGCTTTGATTAATACCTAACCAAACAGTTGACAGCTGTTATCTTACTATCTGCCTCTGAAGCATGTAACTGAAAAATGCTGAGTGCAGTGGCGTCTTGCGTCAGATGAGCATGAGCAAGTCTGCAGTTTTCTGACCTTCTTTCCCTTTTGTTTGACATGTGACACTCAAATGATAGCTTTGTGCCTGAATCAAGTCAAACTGCAACAGTGTTAGTAGTTTTGCTTAGAAAAAACATGAATTAATGCTTAAAATTGGATGTTTTACAGAAAATGTTTCCAATCTTCTAGTACCATATCAGAATGCTGTTATTCAGTCTTTAAAAGCAATATATAACTTTTTACATAAAGTTCTCAAATCAATCTTGAAAGATTTGTTTTGTGAACATTTTCAGGTATTATGCCTGTGGTTCTCAACCATTTGAGGACTGAATTTTATTTTTTTTTTTCAATTAATGGAGAGAAAAAATCTAAACATGGATTTATAAAATCTTTTATGCTTTTTAAACATTTTTATTCTGTCTCATTGTTTTTTGTTTTTTTTGTTTAATATGCAAAATGCTAATTTTTGGTCATTTTTTAGTTTGTAAAGTTTGTAGGTTTTTATTTTCTAAAATTGTAAACCAAAACATGTTTACTTGTTACTTTACAACTTACTTTACTTGCAACGAGTAAAGTCACAAGTTTCTTTACTTGTTAGTTGTTAGAGAAATACTGAATACATGAATCAGATATGAATAAATGAACAGATTTGATTAAAGCTAACCAAACGTGATGATTCAGCATTATACAGCCAAGCTGTGGAGAGAGCACAATATTGACATTTCGATTACAACCTCATGCTCTTCTAATGATTGCAGCTAGTGCTGAGTCGATGCTGGACATCTATTGAAGTTTGAACTTCCTTGTTTTCACAGTAATTTCTATTTTTGTCCTTGTTGCAAACTGGCTTTTTAAAAGTGCCAAATTACCAAACTGAACAACTTTTATATTTTAGCTCTGACGTATCTTAGACAATTTGTCACTCTCCATTTGATTAAGTGTAAGTAATCAAATTTTCACAGATGTTACAGACTCTGTGTTTTACACAAGTGAAACAAGCCGTTTGAGTTCGTTCTGCTAAAATACAAACATGACTGTCATTTCAGGTGGTGTTCCACAAAATGTCCCCCAACGAGACATTGTTTTTGGAGAGCACCAACAAGATCTACAAGGATGACATCTCCAGCAGCTCCTTTGTTAACTTCCAGATCTGGGACTTCCCCGGCCAGGTGGACTTTCTCGACCCCACCTTTGACTACGAGATGATCTTCAGAGGAACCGGAGCGCTGATATTTGTCATCGATGCTCAGGTGAGGAACAAACAGGATGCTATTTTTTTTTTTTTTTTTTTTTTTTTCTTTTTGGGGTTTTTTTTGGAAGGGATT